ATTTAAATATGAACCAGATGAGCAAGTTCTTTTGGAAGCTGATAATTAATGCAGTATATAAATCAAAACCACAGTACACACTGATTAGCCACAGCATTAACTACAAACCACACTGACAGGTAAAATACATTATTTTCCTTTATTTAAAATGGAATGTTCTAGTGGGAAACATTTGGCATTTAAACTTTGATGCATACTGCATACCTAAACGGTGTTACAGACCACAAAGGCAGACAATGCACCCTGCCACACCACAAACACTGATCAGGAACTGCAAAAAGAAAATGACAAACTCCTATAGAAACTCCTCAGCTGCAAAACCCATTGAATACCACTGTATGACCCCACAGAGGCCCCACTCATTAATCCAGAAGCTCTACAACCCTAAGCTAGACCCTACAGGACACCCTGACAGGTCCTATGCCAGTGTTCTGAAGGGTCTGGTTATGATCTTCTGGCTGAACAGCATCTTTCTTAAATAACAGTTATTTCTTTTGTTTGCTTCCATTTTTAACTACTGGGTTTAACTGCATGCTTTTAAAGGGCAGTGCAGGGCAACCAGGAAGTCCAGGTCAACCAGGGCACCCAGGCATGCCAGGAATGAAGGGAAGCAAGGTATTTCCATGATCTGTTTTTGCTGATATCACCAGAATTTTAACATCTAGTCAGAAATTCAAAGTATTCTCTTGATTCCAGGTCAGGATTAAGTCTGTTTAGATTGTGAAATTTAGGTCCATGGTCTGCAGAAATAGCAGTTATAAAAATGACTGAACACTCATATCAATTAGCCGTAAATCACAATCAGATTTGTAGGTAATATTTGTAATTTGTACAAAAACGCTACAAAAAGTCTGGTGTTAGGTTTTTTTTTTTGTGATATGCACAGACTTTAGTGTGTCTAACTTTAAAAGCATGTTATAAAATGAAACTCTGTGCCTTTGTTGTTTTCACAGGGACAGAGGGGGAATCTAGGTGAAAGGGGCGTCATGGTAAGATTCAAGACAACATTATATTGCAGTCAGCACAAGTTAAGCAGATCAAATAATGGTTAGAAAATTGAGAACACAACCTTTGTTTTACATTAGCGCAACATCACCTTTGGGTGTTGGATTAAGATTTGCTTCTGTCCAAAAACAGCAATTACAGTGAAACTGTGGAACCTCAAATCAAAAGTCTATTCCAGGCTTGTGTCTGCTGTCTGGAAGGATGAACCTCTCCTGATGATGGAAGGTTTTTTGGACATAGAATTCATAATACTTCAGTCTACTAATATACTTACAAATCATTATTATCACATCTTGTATCTGGATTTGGAAGCTTTCACGTCAGCTTTACTTGCTTTTTTGGAAGTACAACAGGAGGCTTCTCTGATCTGGGATGTAAACAACATATTTTTTTAATTTAAGCAATGCTAATGAGAATGAAATGGCTACACTGAACTACATTAAAACTCAATACTACTATAAATATGTGTCATTCTTCCTGTTTTAAGTGGATTTTTTAATGGACAGCACCATCTACAGTACTTTGCATATAAAGCATTGGCTGAAGTCTGAAACCTGATTTTATGTGTTTTTTTTAATATAATCTAATGTTGACCTAATGATTTCCACACCAGGGGATGAAAGGTGAAAAAGGAGAGCAGGGGCAGCCAGGGGGTGTGGTGAGTTAATTTTGAAAGGCTTTGTTGCATCATAACTACACGTGTAAGAAAACAGTTTCTGGTACAAATGCATAGTTTAGTGAGATTTAACTAAATTTGGACAAGAAAATTAGTAGATAATATTTTTTCTTCAATACCTCCAAAAATCAGATTATCTGTTCATATTTTGGAGTTTGATGCCTACTATTCTAGTTTGTTTTTATTTTGTATTCTTTTGGGGGGGGGGGCATAGGCCTAAACACACAAATGCTAATAAGTGGTACGTAGTGAGAATGATAATAATAAATGTCAACTACAGTGCTTTTCAGAGTGTTTTATCATCTTTTTAAATTATTTATCATTACTTTGTTTGACAGGGATCACCTGGTCCAATGGGTCTGAAAGGAGAGGTATGTCAAGCTCAATAAAGCAATTACCTTACCTCAGTGTAACATGAATAATAACTAGTATTACTAATAATGGGGTGGTATCCTTGCCAGAAAGGGACAGCAGGGGATCTGGGGCAGAGAGGTCAAGAAGGTCAAGTTGGACGACCCGGACAGCCAGGTCAGTCAGGCCAACCAGGCCCCCGAGGGTTGCGGGGAGATATGGGCCCTCCTGGCCCACCTGGACCCGAAGGAAGATATGTACGTGTGCCTTATACTGTACTAACAACTTGTTTGTAATGGTTTTTTTTGTAATCGTGTTATGTATAACTTAGTGGTTGGTCGTGGTCTATCACTTTATATTGCAGTTAAGTGCAATGTCAGACAATCACATTCGGCAGATATGCAGAGAGCTTCTTCAGGGTACGTATCATTTTAAACTACCTGCTGAACATTTTTTATGTATTTTCCCCAAATGAAACTATCTCATTATCAATCCTTCCAGCTGAGCTGCCTCTATTGATACTGAGCAATCAGCAGAGTAGCTGTACCAGGTGTCAAAGTCAGCCTGGATCTCCTGGCCCACCAGGTCCAATGGGGCCCCAGGGACTCAGAGGTCTTCCTGGGCTTAGTGGTTCTAGGGGACTGCCAGGCCACCCTGGTCGGCCGGGGTATCCTGGGATTAATGGTCTCAAAGGTAAAATAAAGGTCAAGTTAGTCGCATATCCTAAAACTTTCTGCACAATCTCTCTAACAAGGACACTTGTGTTTGCAGGAGAACCAGGTTTCAAAGGGGAGAAGGGGAGCCCTGGTCGGGTCATGATTGGAGACCATGGGCCTCCTGGACCTCCAGGTAAAGAACATCACAGATTTATTTTCCATTCATTTGATAAGGTCATGTAAAAGTGCAGAAGCACTTTTAGTGGATATCTGGTATTTAGCTTTCAGCTGTGTTCCATTGTGGTTGCTTGTTATTTATATCTCCACAGGTCCAATGGGTCTGGAGGGACATGGTAAACCAGGTACTCCAGGTAAACCTGGGCCCCCTGGTCAAAATGGCCCAGAGGGTAAAAGTGGTAATCCTGGCATCCCTGGTGAGCCTGGTGTGTGCGATCCATCCATGTGCTATGGAGGCATGATGAGGCGGGATTCTTACAGCAAAGGCCCAAACTATTGACATAAGGCAGCATCACTGCAGGCACCAGTATAAAGCTGATGCAGAACAGATATTCTCAGGAAGATCTCACCATTACAGTTCCTCTCTGACATGGAAACAAAACGTACCTCTTCTGACACCGTTTATGTGACACCTTTTATGCATCCCAGTTTCTTTGATGGTATTTTGTATTATTAGTCATATGGCTTTGAACATTCTTTGAAAATTTAATGGTGTTAAGAGGATTAATGATTGGCTCCAGTGAATACCTCTTATCCAAGCACCTTATATGAGGTATCAAATGTGCCAGCCATGTAACGCACGGTACTCACTGCATTTAAGATTACTACGCATAGACTCATGCACACCATCTATGAACACACTACAGCCAACAGTTTGATGGATATCTGGGTTTGTGTATAGGTAGGAAATGTAAGTGCAGTGCCTGTTGTATTAGGTGCAGCATACCAAACGCCAGCAAACATAAAGGTCTAACCAAGATTTTATTGCATATCAGGAAAGCTTATTATGGTTTTCCAACACAATCTTACCAAATCTTCTGCTTTGCTGACAAAAAACATACACCTGTTTACTGTTTGAGCCTTATATTTAATCTTGATGAAGAGATGAATTTATAATTAGAACTAATGAGAACACCTTTGAGTCTGAGGTGTTTGTCAATCCTGCTGTTGTCTGAAGCTGTTGGCATTTAGTAAGCTCAGAGGAAGGACCCATTTTGCCATCATGCCATCATTTACTTTGAATGAGATTTATGGCATGCACTGCATTAACATCAACTAATTACATGCACACCTACTTCAAAACGTAAGGTGTATGTGCAGATTACACATACAGTCAATTATGTTGAACATTATTTACATGCAACCTTTCGATTCTTGTGAACCACACCTAAATAAACCCACCATTTCCAGTGTGACACCTATCAGTATAAGGCCTATGTGTACATACATGTGCAAATTGTTTGTGAATTCTAAATGAATGGTGATTGTTTGGTCACATCTTAATATGGCGTTACTAAAGCGTTTGACTGCAGTTGGCTGACATATTTGACTCCTAATAATCTTGAAGTTTGTACTGTAAGTCCCTGTGGCTGGTACACTTTCTTATATTGCCCCCTTGTGTTCCTTCACTGCATGTTTCGTTATAAGATTTTACTGCACATAGGGCAGGTGCCACATGTTCCACTAAAAAACAGAACAATAAAAATCAACACTCTAACAGATACATGAAAAAACAATGATGATTTGTGAATTGATTTGTGATGAATTATCACAGAAATTAACAAGTTTCTGCGCAAAACTGTGACTTTGATTGCATCTCGCTGAGTACTCACTCCTGGAAGCTCGAATTCATAAAGCATTCTGACTTTTGTGCGTGAAAACTTTTTACAAAACACATCTCCCCGGTTACCCTCCTACTGCAATACTTCTCCATTCATTGCCATGTCTTATTTGTTCTATATTTAGGATGTAAAATATATATATATATAAAAAATGTGCCACCTATGAACACACCAACACTTTAGTTTCACATTTTAATCCATTTATGTTCCCCCAGCTTACCTTTCATTACTGTAGCAGGTATTTTTTTTTATTTATAAGAGAGGCACATCACATTTCAGCAGTGACCTGTCTTAAACATCTTTTGTAATGTTATTATTTGGTGTGAAGGTATGACTTTTGCCATTTTTATTTTCTTTTTTAAAAACTAGAATTAAAAAAAATCTTTTAAAGGATTTGTGAACTTTGTTTGGCTTTTGCTGTCCTGTCTCTGAACTTTACGCGTTTATTTCTGCTCTCCTATCACATCACTGATCTCATCTTTCACATGGAATCGTGGGTGTGGTTTGCACTTGGGAGTTTCCACTCAAAGTGAAGCATCAAAAGGGGATTAAGTATGGTGATGGGTTTGGAAGAAAAAAGTGGAGAGAGATCATTGCATGGCTCGTCGAATTAGGACACTGCTTTAGGAAACTTGGATGAGCGCAGCTTCAGCTAAAACGCTCTGTGGCTGGCAGGGAAACTTCAGAAATGACTAAATGTTCGGTTTTTGCGCTAGATGGCGCTATGTGGCAACATCTTAGTATGCGTGTGAATTTTTCTAAGAAGACTTCCTTTCCCCCCTGTTTGGACAGTAGCCACTCATCACACGTGAATCCCTCTCTGTTTATATCTTTAATTATCCCAGCATGGCGGCTTTCGCTTGTGTTTATTTAATGTCCCATGAGGGTGGAGCTTTCTGCAATAAACTTAAATACTCATGTTTAATTCTTGCTGTAGAGTGAAATTATATAATTTTAAATTAAAGCATATAACCACGTGCGGTATGTGGTTTACAGTAGGCCTTTATCTCCTCCCGTCCTGAATTATGGCTTTACTATATTCTCCTTGTTTGTTAGTGTATTTAATATTTCCATACCTGTGAATCCTCCATGCATGATAAAAACACGACCCTCGTTGTTTTGCGGTGGATGCAGCTGAAACCCTCTTTTATGAAGACTTCAATAACTTGAGGTGATTAAAAGGCTCTGTCATTATTCTTTCACTCGTTAGGAAGGCCTCTCGGATTTCAAGTGTCTCCTTTTACACTCCTGAGCCGCCACATTCATCATGGGACCTGGCTGAAGTTTTATTGCGGCCGCTAGAGGAGGATGCAAAAACAAAAGCTGAGGAGTGTGGGGTGGACTCAAAGGGCAACTAGCCCCAATACACATTCTCAGTGGGGAGGAAAAAAAGTGAGAGAGAGGGGGGAAAGAAAAATGCGCGCCGGGGCATGAGTCGAGTGCTTCTCTCTGCTTAATTTTGACACAGTTCAACACATTTCATCCACTTGGAAACTCCAGGTTATCCCCCGACGTTATGGGCGTACCTACACGTTTTTTCATCACAAAGGAGTAAGGTGAGGGACGGGGTCACACAGCTCCATAAATACTTGGTGTGGCTGAGACTTCGGATGGACCCTGGAGGCGTAAATACTGCTGCTGGAGGAAGCTCGCACACAGGAGAGGAGCGGCGATTTTTCTGCAAGCTGATACCTCATTTGTAGAAGGGCAGACTACTAAAAGCCTCCTCAGTTACCACCGTGAAAGTTGTGGTGCCTCTGGCTAATATGGAAAGTCTATGATTCCGTGTTGGCACAACTATAGCATAAATTGTTGCGATTTTTTCTCTCCCTTCACTGAGTGCGATGTAGTTCATCTTCACATCTCAAAGTGAGCTGATTTGTCAAGATGACAGCGCTTACACCTTTGAACCGTGCCGTACTTGGACTTGCGTGGAGCTGTTTGAGTTTCCTGTCGTGCGTGCATTGCGTTTTAAGTGACAATCATGTGCACTCCAGTTTTATTTACAGGAGGTTGCGCAATCACGAGCGCAGGGAGATACAGAGAGAGATCCTCTCCATCCTGGGCTTGCCTCACCGTCCCAGGCCCTTCTCTCCCGGGAAGCAGGCGTCCTCCGCGCCGCTGTTCATGCTAGACCTGTACAACGCCATGGCCGTGGATGAGGAGGAGGGCGTGCAGGAGAGCGCAGGGAAGAGCTTTAGTGCCAAGGCTCAAGGGCACTCTAGGAAAAGTTACTACAACCCCCAGCATGCCGGCTACTCCCGTGTGGCACAGCCTTACCGAGCGGCCCCTCTCCTAGGCCACAGCCCCGCACTCACCACAGCGCAAGACACCAACTTTCTCAATGACGCCGACATGGTCATGAGTTTTGTCAATTTGGGTAAGTGTCATTAAAACGGGATCAATATCCACACGTGCTATAAATCAATATATACATCGGGATTATGTGCAGGTGATTCTTGGTTATTACGGACACTGAAAGAAATTGACTTATTCATCTTTCACTAGATTTCTATTTCCTCGACAGAGATAAGTGAGGGATTTTAAACTTTTTATTTCTCTTATTATAGATGACATTAAGGCAAATCTTAAAACACCAACATAAGCTGAACGAGCCTGCTTTTTGGGATGAAAAATATTACCACTTATTTCTGGAAAATAACCGGACACACGTACAATATTTTTTTTAGAGAAACCTGTGCAAGCTCTCATACGAAACTTGCCGAGGAGCAAATTCAAGATTTATAATTTTTGAAAAGACATTTGTGCATCTAAATGTAAAAAAATAAAGTTCGTCGTCAGACATCAGTCATTTTCAGAGTACCGAGGGGTTGCTACAGACTCCTGTTAAATATTTTGTATTTAACACAATCGAGCTGAACGTTTTGACCCATCAATTTGTGCTGCTTTCTATTTTTTTCTGAAGTCGCTTTTATGTATAATGATTGTGTTTGTTCGGTAGCTGCGACCCTTAACCCAGCAGTTCACAGCGACTTATCAGATGACTGTCTGACCTTGAGAAAATTGGCCCAAATTATTTCCTGTTGTTAAAAGAGGGTGATACTGACTGATACTCATATCTGAGGTTCTGTCATTAAAAGAAACCACAAGCCCCTTTCATAATATTTGTGCTATTTGTACCATTTATTATTCCATCATGACATTAAAAATATTCGCAATATTAATCAAACTATTACACAGTCCTGCAGAACTGAATATTTAAAAACAAATCCCTGTAACATATCATCTACAAAGTTTCATTATTTTATTCTTTAAGGATTGTATTTTCCAAAATACAAAGCGAATTTGTGGAGACTTGCTTGTAACATTATTCCCTCACCTTGGTCTCAGCCCATCTGTTTCCACTTACCGCTACACCAGGGCATGTACACTGTCAGGCTTGAAGGCTCTGCTCTCATTCTGGAGACTGTCAGTGGAGTGTTCAATGGGGCTCTGTCTTTATTACAGTACACTCACATATAGCTACTGACCTCAACTGTTTTAAAATGTCTATGTGGCATTTTATGCGGTTTAATATGCTTACTCTAGTATCAATAAGAAGCCAGCTATTCAAACATCCAAACACACAAGACAGCATAAAAAGGGGGGCTTTTATTAATGAAACATCAGTCATTTGATAATTTCATTACAGCCCAGTTAGAACCAGCTGAATAAAACTGATATCTTACATTTTTATTTAATATTTTGCTATTTCAAAGGTAAATGCTCTGTGTTCTCAGTGGCACTTCTGTTTCAGATTACCACCCGTGGCTAATATAATGGAACGCGCTCAGTGGGTAAAAGTCAGAGCTGACCTCTGACCTGTTTGTGCTAAGTAACGGCAGGCGTTCCCTCTCGATAAAATATCAGGGAAATGCACTGCATGATATCACCGTGGATGTCAGAACATCCGCTGACCTCAGCCACATGCCTTTACTCTGCTACCAGGTGGAGGTGAGAGATGGCCGAGGTCACTTTGTCAGCATGTCCCTAATGTAGGTACACTGGAGCTCTTTGATGCTGAAATTGAGGACATATATATATATATATATAAAATCAGAAGAAGCTGTGCATATCCTCCACTTGTCTCCACATAGGTATAAAACAAATCCACCGATTTAAAAAAAAAAAAAGACGAGCCTTAAAAAGTAATCTTATATTATCTGTTATATTAGAAATATTTTACTTTCAAGCTTAAGGGTTAGCTACTTTTTATGAAGCCTAGCAGAGGTCAGAATGAGGTCAGAAAAGAGGTCAGAGTAGACACTCATGTGATGCTGAAGAATCTTGTCTGCTCTTTTTCTTACTTGAGGAGCAGACGAAAGTGTCTTTAATTGAAATCAGCCTGTTTTTCTTAACTGACAGCCCATTCATCATGGCCAGAGAATGCAGTTAGGCACACAGTAGAGGGCCTGTCTGGGAACTGCTACCTGTATTGAGTTGACTGATTTAATGAACTGGAAAGTGCTTTTGTTGGTAGTCAAAATGTTTGGATTGGACCTTGAATGTGAAAGAAGATGTGATAAATTACACTTTTTTCCTGCGCATTGATGCTGGCATATTTTCTCCTTTAAACAGCTTAAGAAGCAGTTCAGGAGGTGAACTCATACATTTATATATATATATATATTTTTTTTTTTTCATCAACTTTTCTTCCCGGTAGAAATCAACTTTGTCATAAAGTATTTTCTTTTCCAGTGGAGAAAGATAAAGATTTTTCTCACCAACGAAGACACTACAAGGAGTTCCGTTTTGATCTGACTCAAATACCGGACGGCGAGGCAGTGACTGCAGCTGAGTTTAGGATCTATAAGGACCGTAGTCATGCCCGCTACGACAATATTACCCTGAAGGTGACCATATATCAAGTCATCAAAGAGTATCAAAACAAGTAAGTGCCAGACCAACCACAACTATGCATTAAATGTTCATATTAAATGTGATTGTACCTCTGTAGTCCTGAACTGTTTAACTGGGTAATCTCTAAATAATTTCTGATATTTTTATTACATAACGATAGCTTAAAGTGTCCAGCAATGTGTAACTAAAATGCTTTACCTCAACCAGTTGGTGCTTGCTGCTTTAGTAAACTCATGAAAGTGTTCTTTTTACTAATGCTGCTACTTGCATTTAACTAAAAATGTCCCAGCACTTCTTGGATTACAGTTTAAAGGACTTACTGCTTCATTTTATGGGCATAAAATTATTGTAGATAAACAAGGGGGAAAATGAGTCATAAAGTGAGTCAGTCTTTTAAAAAAAAAGAACAAAGACAAAGGACCTATGTTAAGTTTGTTCTCAGTTATTTAAAGGTTTAGTGAAATGTAAAACAGGCTGGAAGCTTCTTGCTTGTAGTGAAAAAGCAGAATGAAGTAGCCGCTACTGCAAAAAGTGAGAACTATTTAAAACTATTTGCATCTCGATTTGTATCTTATTTCATAATGGCCATTGTCTGTCGGGGGTTGAAACTTTCCACTTGCAAAGCACATCCTCCCATCTCAAACTCTGCTCTCCTTCATTCGCACCATGTCTGCCTTACAAATATAGTTCACGGATAAAGAGAACTCCATTAGCAAGTTGGCCACTTATGAAGCTTGGAAGGTCCGTCAGTTATCACTCGTCTTGTGTTGCCTGCCAAGCTGGCTGTGTCCCAGATGAAACCACGAGGGCCCGTATCGGGAGGGGGTTGGAGGCTCCCTAGGGTGCTCCCGTGGTCACTGTTATGCCCGCCACCTGCCTGTCTTAACAATATTCCGGAAGTTTAAAGCAAGACATAGCTGAATACACAAGGGTGCACTTAAAAGTGGGCCCACATTTGCTTGCCAAAAATGTGTGTGGGTGATTGAAGGGAAGATATGGCCCTCCGGGGCTTTGAAAAGGTCCAAGTCAATGGACTCTACCATCTTAAAGGGGAAGAATGCTCAGTTCATGTTTTCACACATGCTTTCTTGGAGAATAGTGTATTTGAATTAGTGCTCACAAACAGGTACGAGTCTTTCACAGTGACTGAAATCTTAGAGAAGTTTTCTGGATTTTTCTGTCATCATAAAAGCTTAAATGCAGTTACAGTATGAGTAGGGTTCATTTGTAAAGCCATACAGATTCTTTTGTGTTTGCCTCCAGCACGTTAGGCAGAATGCTGCTTATAGACACAGACGAGTTTCAGCCTGTGCCCTTAATGTTGTTTTATATACTACACAACTTGCTGGAGGTCTGACCCCCTTTTAAACCATATCCTCTTCACCTTGTACGTTGGAAGCGGGTGAAGTTGTGCCACAAACCTCTACTAAGTTTCTACAAAATGCTGATTATATAAATACTCATGATTGCCAGTGGTTCTCATTTGGCCCATTCAACAAAATCAGTTTAGCACAGATTGAACAGGTTGTGGTCTCTGTAGCAAATTTAAAACCATTTTGTTAGGGTATTTTAGGGGTTTAAGAGACTGACAATACACATTAATATAAAGCTTAGAAAATCAAATCCCACTAAAAAAAATTGTTTCCTGTCCACATGTTCTGCCATTTACTTAAAATAATAAAAGTTCAGTAAAAGCAATGGCCAGTGATAGAGATAATGTGTTAAATAGTGCATGAGAATAACACTGTATATAAGATGCTGGTATTGGGGAAGTCTGTGGAGTCTGTAACCAGAATACACTTTATGTATGTATTTGAGGACTAATAAGTTCTTTGAACTTTAAGCTGTTTTTTAAAATTTATAACAGCACAACTTATTTTGCTATTTTAAACTTGCAGGGTTTATGTTTACCTGCTAGTGTCTTCACTGAGTTAATGAAACACAGAAACAAAAGCAACTATGTGAAAATGCTCTACTTCGTATCCATACAGGTTGTCAAATGTATACTTAAAGTCAGAGTACTTGTAGTTTCAGACAACTGCACACCTATCTCAGAGTCACACCTGCTCTGGTACTGAACTTTACTGCTGAACATGAATTCCTAATGGAAAATATTGACTTGTGAACATAGTTTGTTAAACACAGAGCAGTCTGAACAGTTACCACTCAGCTTTGGTGTTCAGTCACATTCTCTAGTGACCCCAGATTAAAATGTAGGATAAACATTTGCACTCTTGGATACAGCTACAAACCTATACCTACTCAGGCTAAATTATCACAGGAAATAAGCTAAAAGCTACAAAAGTCAAAAAGGAAGTTTAGAAGTATGTCATGCATAAAGATTATGCTTGATTTTTATTACACCTGCAATAAAGACATAAATGGTTCCTGAAGGACTGACGGAAAATCTTGGTTGTCTCTGACCAGCATCAGGCAACCACAAAAACGTAACAGGCTCTGCTTTATCTGATCTGCAACTTGAAAGGAATCCAATGCAAATTAGGAAGTAGGGCTTTTTTTTTTCAACTTTGAGTTGATTGAGGCCTTATGTCAAGCTTATGTTAAAAAACAGCAAAAGAAAAACAGCTGATATGCATGATTCATAGCTCCTGAAAGTTCTGAAGTACTGGCAAACCCTGTGCCCCACGACTCTGCTATTTATTACTAGTGAAAGGTTTTTCCAACAAAAGCACCGCTTTCTTTTCAGGTCCAGCACACAGTAACAAGTTTAACACTCTTACAGACCAAATCAGCACATTTCAGTACTAAGATAAATGTTTGATTTCCTAATTTTTTTTTAGTTTTTATTCATTATCAGGCAAAGCATAAAAACATAACAAATCAGACAAACAAGAGAAAGAAAAAAAAAACAACCCAAAAGAAATCACACAAATTAAAGTCATCATATATCTTTGCAAGTACACATATGGGGGAAAAAGAATGAAAATGTTTGATTTCCAAAGGAGGGAGGGAAGAGTTGCCACAGAGTTTGGAATAAAGTACTCAGTCATGATAAGATTCAGTCTACATGTTCTAGAAAATAATGCCAAGTACATGTGCACTCACCAGCCACTTTATTTTCTCAGACATTTTGGTCCATATTGATATGATTACAAGGGTGATGCAGATTTGTCAGCTGAACATCTATGATGCCAATCTTTCATTCCATCGCATCCCAGAGGTGCCCTGTTGGATTAAGATCTGGTGTCTCTGAAGGCAATTTGAGTACAGTGAACTCATTGTCATGTTCAAGAAACGAGTTTTAAACAGTCTGAGCTCTGTGACATGGTCCTTTATCCTGTTGAAAGCAGCTATCAGAAGATTCAATTCAATTAGGTTCAATTCAATTTAATTCAGGTTTAGTGCCAAATCACATCGACAGTCACCTCAGGGTGCTTTATGCCAGGGTAAATATCCTACAGCAAAATCAGACAATCTCCTATAAGCAAACACTTTGTGAGAGTGGGAATAAAAAAACTCCTTTTTCATAGGAAGAAACTGAAGAAAGTGTCATGACCAGTTGGAGGGTAAGGGGAAAGGGAGCATAGACAGAAAGCTGGATACATTGAGGTCATAAAGGGATGGTCAGCAACAATATTCAGGTAGGCTGCAGAAACTAGGTGGGATGGATCCATTATTTCATGTTGTTTAGGCCAAATTCTGACCTTAACTTATATTTTCACAATTTTCTGTTGTCCAATTTTTGTGCACGCAGACAAGTTCTTTTGGTTAGCTTGGTTTTAAGAAATGGTTATTTGAGTTGCGTTTGCGTTTATGGCCATTCTTCTCTGATCTCAGTCGCTTTTCTTCCCCATTCTGAATCGGTTTGAATTTCAGCAGGTTGTCTTTACCATGATTGAATTCTCTCAGTTGCTGCCACGTGAATGTCTGATTAGACAGTTGTGTTAACAAGAAGCTGAATGGATGTGCCTAACAAAGTAGCCAGTGATATATGCACCAGCTGTTTTTGCTCATTTTAACTGTAGCTTATTTAGTGCAGATGTTCATGACATTGTTTTCATTGACTTTTTAGAGATGCAGAGACGTTCTTACTTGACTCCAAAAAGGTCCAGGCATCTGATGGAGGCTGGCTAGTGTTTGACATAACAGCTACCAGTAACCACTGGGTGATGAATCCACAGCAGAACCTGGGCCTGCAACTCTGTGTGGAAACTGTAGATGGCAAGTGGAGTTCAGTTTTTCTTTCCATTACTTTTTTTTTCTTTAGATTTATTTTAAACTCCTAGACTTTTAAAAGGTCAACTTCACCTTTCAAGACAATCCACAATGTCTGCATTTGATTTTACGAAAATGTTTTATGTGACATCAGGTCAAATGTCTGGCAGTGTTTGGATTATGATTATTTATCACCAAGTCCCACCAATTAATTGCCATAAATCAAAAAAATTAAGATGAGCTGACCTGGTTTTTGTATTTGTACTTACTCTGAAAGCAGTCATAAATTTCTAAAACTACCCATTGAGATTAAATGTTGTTTTAAAAGTTTTATTTACCTTTTTATTTTTTTAAAGGACGAAGTATAAACATGAAATCTGCCGGAATCATCGGGAGGAACGGGCCCCAGTCCAAACAGCCGTTCCTGGTTGCTTTCTTCAAGGCCAGCGGGGTGTTGCTTCGCTCAGTCAGAGCTGCTGGTGGGAAAAAAAAGAACCACAATCGCAATAAATTGAATAATCAACAACAATCCTCAAAGGCACCAAAAACTGGAGGTAAGTGGGCTTAAAATTAAATTCAATTAAATTTTATTTATATAGCGCCAAATCACAACAAAAGTCGCCTCAAGGCGCTTCATAGATACAGAGAAAAGCCCAACAATCATATGACCCCCTATGAGCAAGCACTTTGGCGACAGTGGGAAGGAAAAACTCCCTTTTAACAGGAAGAAACCTCCGGCAGAACCAGGTTAATAGGCTGGTGTGAAAAATTGCTGCCACACCGCCCCCTCGGCCTGTGCTTCAAGATTTCTGGTAGTTAGAATGACTCGGGGGTGTTGATTCATTTAAACTAACATAATCATCCTGCTGCAACCAGGTTTCTGTAAGGCAGAGTAAATCAATTTGTTGATCAATTATTAAGTCATGTACTAACAGAGACTTGGAGGAGAGAGACCTAATATTTAATAATCCACATTTCACTGTTTTACTCTTTGGTTCAGATGTGGATACTGTATTGTTCTTTCTTTGTAATTGTTTATGTTTAAGTTGTTTGTTGCTGGTTTTTAGTTTGTTA